TATATATACGAGTGCGTGTCTGTGTTTGTGTGTGTAATTATGCGTGTGAGTCTGTGTGTATGCGTGTACATGAGGATATGTAATTATGTGCATGAATGTGTGTTTGTTTGTGTATATATATATATATGTGTGTGTGTGTACGTGTGTGTATGTGTGTGTGGGTGGGTGTGTGTGTGCGTGTCCCTGAATTAAGCGATAACGAAGATGCAAGTGCTGAAACGTTTGCATACCAATTTAATTTATAAATTTGTGATCTGATCTATGGAAGCATATAATACTTTACGGAACATTTTAACGTCGTACCTAGAAAGCTGAATAGGAATTATCTAGTTTTGCGCGAATAAATTGCTGCTCAACTTCATGCTTATTCTTTTTTTACAAGATGGAGACATCTTGTTGGCAGCGGATGCTGCATGCTGAGGACCTGAGCCTTAAAGGTCAGCTTGGAGTGCTTACGGAAATGAAGATACATCGCGACTGTGGTCTCAAGCAACACATTCTCTCTGACAGAAATTACCATACCTTGCATGCTGAGTGAGACAGGGAAAAACTGGTTAAAACTTGAATAGTTGTACTCATTTTACGACGCACAGAGGCAAAGCAACTAAGGGGGTAACCTGAATGCGACGTAGTGTCGATCTGCGACCACATTCAGGGCAAGCTCTCGTAAATTCTTTAGTGCGTACTTCTGAGAGATGTCCAAAAATTCAAGCACCGTTTCCAAATAAGCGTGCTCCCAGCACTGCAATCATGAAAGTGAACTGCAGAGAAATAAAGTGGCAATGGAATGAATCCCCAAGCTGCGTTTTTTTTTTTTTTTTTAACTTTTATAAGAGTTAACTGGTCCAGAAGAAACTAAATATTAGTGTATTTAAAAATTTGAAGCAACTGGCTTAGCGAGTTGCGATGTCTGTTAAAGAGGGAAGGGGACGGGCAAGGGGATGATGGGGAGGGGAGAAAAAACGAGTCGACAAGTGATAAATCAAGAAAAGCAAAGCATTTTTTAGAATTTTCTTTCACTGCCTATATGAGAAAAAAAAAAAAAAAATTAAAAACACTGGCGTAACGAGGAGGGTTATATGCGTATTAGTTGACCGTTGGTTAGTAAATGGAAAAACTCATGGCACGTTTCTGGAAACTGCTAAAAACATATTTTCCTGTATTCAGAGGGGTCCGTTTTTCAAAATATTTTCCAAACTGCCTCACTACCTTCAGCAAATCCTGGCTATTCTTCTGTAACATGGCACCCTTTTTTGTCCGTGAGAAGAAAACAAAACACATAGGCATTAGTTTTAGTTCCAGCTTGCGATTCTGAGGACTTTAATTTTATGCAGGAATTGATTCTGAGAATTGGTGAAAAATGATCTCTGTGGCACGATATCTTAGGCTTTTAGTTTGTGCTCACATCTACTGCGAAAATTCACTATGAATTTGATAATTATGGATAACACGCAGATTTAGTGATGACAACCAATGCAACATTCTGTTCTGGCGTTTTTGACTATGCCGCATGACAATTAGCCGGTTTATGATTGTTTCAAAGCTACTAAAAAAACCGATGATGTCCACCTGTTTCGAACCGAGATGGGTTTGGCAAGCAGATTTTCCATAACTACGGTATTTTTTACTGCTAAGCCACTTGCGATAAACCGAAAAGTACGTTTTTAGATCTTTTTTTTTCTGGAAAAGAACACAGTAGAAACCTGGTATAAGCGTCTGATAAGTTCGGTCTCAGCAGTGGCTATTACACCGGCGCTTCCTTCACCAAAATTGGCCCTCAAGTAATGAGCACATGATATGATTAATTTAAGCTCTTCCAGGGAGGATCCAGGTCCGCATGGCAAAATATCGAAAAGAATTGCGTTCTGAACCTGAAAAAGCACTGAAAATTCTACCGACCGATGTTTGTTTTCAAGAGTCATGTTTTTTTTGACGAGAACAAAACTGAACAGATTGATTTACTGGATTCAAGGATGAAGAGCATTTCTGAGGCCAGTTATCCAGGAGCGGATATAAGCCGAGCAAGGCTTTCAGTCATGTTGCTCTTATTTGAACATTAGAGAACACTGCTTCCACCTACGGATAACACCGTTTCTTATCGAATCTATTGCATTTTTACATAAATCAGCACAGAATGCTTTATAGTGCAATAAGCTTATCCGGTCTTTCTCAGTATTATAATTCCCAAAAATGTGAAGTTGAAATTCGAAGGCACGGTATGAGATGTACGAATTCAGAAGCGTAAAATCAACTTCCGCATCTTCTTATCCCTTCTCTAACTCAGGGAGCATGAGATTTCTGCATGTCACGCATCACCGCATTTCTAATCTTCACCCGAAAATACGCTGCATATTGTTAGGAGAAAAAAAAAACGAGGTAAAACCGGTTCCCGATTTTATCGCACTGTGAACAGTTACAAATCTATCGCAGAAGCGCATAAAAGCACTTGCACATCGCTCAGAAACAATGCATGCAAATGCAGGAAAATCGTCTGGCTAGGCATCAACACATTTTGGTGTAATATCGGAAAATAGCAAAAAAAAAATGCCGAACGATGGTGTTTTGTAGTCAGACACTAAACTGATCGGGAAATAAGAAAGGGCTCATTCTGTTTGGAAGTTTTTTCCCGGCTGTAGCACTGAATGTTTCACGATAGCCTCGGTTTGACGCGCCTCGTCTAGCGGGATGGTACTTGAAGCTAGCAGTTATCTTCTTTCCCGACTACTTGATCTATTATGGTTCAATATTGACTGAAACAAATGAATTCAAAAAAAAAAAAAAAATTAGACTATTACACTCGAACAACAGTGTTAGCTCCAAGGAGTTTTAAATCACATGTATACTTTTCGGAAAATTTTCATAGGATATGGTATAACGACACGTTCTGTGAGAGGGCCTGCCAGCTGCTCCCGGAAGTAATCCGAATAGGCAAGTGGAATGGTGCCATTCACCGCAAAAGTGCCATCATTTGCATCAATATCCAGATTCCTGCAGTGGTAGCACGTTATCAGAAATCGAGTTATCACGTGCTAGGCTTGCATGAGGTTCCCATCAATGAGATCGTTTAGCACTGGTGATGATTCTTGCAAAAGAAAGCTTTTACTCCTTTTCCTGCTTCTTCTAATTTTTCTTGTGAATTCAGAATCTAAATTTAGCTCATCCTTGGCTTATTTTAATGCGTTTTTTGCAGCTATGCAATGCAGAAAACGCATATTAACGAGAGGTTGCCTGTGTGTGTGTCTGTGTGTTCGTCTGTACCGATTTTTCATCTCGAGACCGGCAAAAGCTACAGGG